AAACCCTGAGTTCATCTCTCCAGCCCTTGTACCTGTATTTTGACTGTCATGCATTGCATTAGATCATGTGTAGAATTTCCCACATGTAGTGGAATGTTCCAAAGCGCAAAAATTTTAGATTTTTGGAGCAATTTGGACTTGGGGTTAGAGATGCTGAACCTGTGTTTCCCAGGGTCGTTCGTACTTGACTTCTCCATTACTCCTCAACTCATTCTATTGAAGCTTTCTTTTAACTCCCCATTAAAAGAACTCTTACGAAGGTTGTCAGTGACCACGTCTTCTTCCCTGACTAGGCTTCTCAGGATATAATGGAAGCCTTGTACATAAAGGGGAATGCCCACAGTACTAAATCCTATCTACTTTCCTTCCAGCCTCCCCAAGTCTCTCTGTGACCCAGCTGCCTGTTTTCTTTGTTGGCCTCCTCCTCTTCTTGATGTCAGAAGGCCCCCAGGCTTGGGGCTGGAGATATAGCTCAGAGGTTAGGAGTACCGGCTGCTCTTACAGAGGACCTGCCTTTGGTTTCCAGCACCCACATGGCAGCTAACATCTGTCTATTCCAGTCCCAGGGATATGATGTTCTCTTCTGGTCTCTGAGGGCATTGTATGACATAGACATTACATATATGCAAGCAAAACACTCATACAAATAAATAAATACTCCAAGTTCTGTGGCTTTTCTCTCTCTTCTTTTTCCTTTTTTGTTTGCTTACTTATTTGTTTGTTTTGTGTGTGTTGAGTAGGGGAATGTGTGTGTAGAGGACAAAGGACAACTTACTGGAACCAGCTCTCTCCACCTGCCATGTGGGTTCTAGGGATCAAATGCAGATCCTCAGGTTTGGCAGCAAGTCCCTTTACTTGTTGAGCCATTTTGCCAGCCCTCTGTGGTTTTCATCCTAAATCTCTCCCTAGATGATCTTAGATAGTTCCAAAGTTTAAATTCCTTTGATGACTCTCATACTTAACATCATCCAACCTAAACCTCATCTATGAGTTCCCTAGACAACTCCATTTGGCTTGAAAAAAAAAGGTTTGTAGGAACAGCTTAGTGATAGAGCATTTGTCTAGCATGTGTAAAGCCCTGGGGTTGATCCCCAGTGCTGCCAAATGAACAAATAAAAATGATCAACATACTTGACTTGATAGACCTTAACATATATGGCAGAATGCATGAAATCCGGTGGGGGCAAAGGGGGGTGCAGATAGGGGAGGAGCTCTAAATACGATTAAGATGTATTGTATGTAGAACTGGAGAGATGGCTGAGAGGTTTAGAACACTGGCTGTGTTTGCAGAAGACCTGGGTTGGAATCCTAGCACACATTGGTGGCTAACAACCATCTGTAACTCCAGTTCCGGGGGATCCAACGCCCTCTTCTGACCTCTGTGGGCACTGTATGACACGGATGCACTTACCTACAAGTAGGCACAATACTCATTCACAAAATAAGTAAATTTTTTAAAAAGAACTGCATAATCACGTTACAAAAAAAATTGCAAAAAAAAATCTCATAATTTTAAGTAAATTTACAATTTTGTGTTGGGCCTCATTCACAGTTATTATCCTGGATTACAAGGGGCTGGTGGACCGGAAATACCCCGATCAAATCAGGTGTCTCAATTTCTACCACCTCCTGGTCAATCTTTTCATGCCTCAGCTCCATCCCTCCCACTCCACCGCCATACAGCTGCCTTCTAAAATACAGGTCTGCGGGGCTGGAGAGGTGGCTCAGCGGTTAAGAGCACTGGTTGCTCTTGCAGAGGACCCAGGTTCAACTCCCAGCACCCACATGGCAGCTAACAACTGTCTGTAACTCCAGTTCCAGGGGACCCAACACCCTACCCTCTTCTGACAGCTTCAGGCATTGCACAACACAGGTGCACTTAAATACATGCAGGCAATACACTTGTACACATAAAATAGAAATAAAGAAAATACAAAAATTAAAAAAAAATTAATAAAATACAGGTCTGTGGCTGTTTGTGATGCCATATTAGGTGATGCCTGAATAAAGACAAACTCTTAGTATCTAATTAGGCAAGAGAGGCCCTGAATTGCTTTAAGAACCTGCTCCTTGAGAATCCCCTCAGAACTATGTTCTCAAAGACCTTCTTCTCTTTTATTGAAACTGTACATCCAGCATGAAATGGGGAAGAAAAGTGGCCCCTGACCGTATCAGAATGGTTTTTCCCTCTCTGACCCCTACTGACCTAAAACAGCACACACAAGCACACACAGATGTCATCAATTTAATTCCGTTGTTTGCAACACAGATGGGGTAATCTTTTCCCCTTCTAATGAATATCCACTGTTTGTATGCTCACTTGATATGCACACACATTCATACATCCTTCAGGGTCAAGGGCAAAAAGAGATTAAAGCTATAAACCCAAGTCACAAGAGGAACCCAAGACCTAGTCAGCTTGCTTTACATTATAAAAAGCTGAGATTGTGTGTTACATGATGTCTAAACATAAGATTAACCTTTTGGTTACAAGGTTAGATAAAAGTCATTAGTCTAGAGTATGCCCATATTGTAAAAGTCATTCCCACACAGGCCAGATTCGGTGTCTCTTCTCCACTTAAACCTTACCAGTGGCCTTCACTACAACAGGAAATAAACAGAACCAGTTTGGTTTGGTTTTCCTGGAGCAAGTAGGCAGATGTTGCTGTTATTTGCAAAGATAAGGAAATTACAAGGGCTTCCTTCTACAGTCACAGGCCCTGCCTCCTCTCTCCAGGAAGCTTTGTGGGTAGGTGCTCCTGCCTCATGGACTTTGCACTTGCTGCTTCCTCCATTAGGAAGCTCATGATGTCATTAGTGCACACCTGCATCTGAAGTTACCCCTTCCATTGTGTGTTTCCCTGTGTGGCAAGTCCCCACAGGCTCTACTCCTCAATAGAACAGAGCAGAAATTCTTTGGTCTACTTCATTTGAAGTCATTTCCCCAGAGCCTGTGCTGGATGTGAAGCAGTGCAGAAGCTCAATATACATTTGCTGACTGATCTTTTGACTAAGGATTTGAAGGTTGTCAGTGCTGGATAGAAACAGTCCAGCTTCATTGTTTCACAGATGGGCAAACACAGGCTCAGAGTCATGGGTCTAGTTGTACGAATGCAAACTTACTCAAGCAAATTGGCTGTGCATGATCCTTAGGTTCTCTTCCCTCAAACATTGCAGCTGTGATCGACAAGGGTTATTTCCCCCAAATGTCCCCCCGCCAAATTATCATGAAAAGAAATCTCAGCATAGTTTGTTGCTCATACAGATATCCACAAAGCAAACTTTTATGGGCAAATAGCCACAAAACCAGTTCCTGAAACTTGGGTAAAAACCAATAAAGGCTCAACCCTCCATCCTGGTAGAAAGGGTCTGCTCAAGTTAAATTGGACATTCTAGAGGCAGGAATTGGTTAAATTGATGACTGAATCCAAGGGACAGAGGGCCCGCAAAGATTTAGTCCTGTGTGCTGTCTGTAAGTGAAAAGGACTCCTCCAGAAAGTCTTTTAATCTGTATGGATAATTAATTAATTAATTAGTATGTATGTGAGTGTGAGCTACCATAGTGAGACCTTGTCTTAAAATATAAAAGCAGAAGCTGGGCGTGGTGGTGCATGCCTTTAATCCCAGCACTTAGGAGGCAGAGGCAGGAGGATCTTTCTGAGTTCCATACCCTGAAAAGGACATACATTAAGAAGAAAGGGGGGGAAAAAGAGACCCTTTTCAAAAAAAAAAAAAAAAAAAAAAAAAAAAAAAAATCATCAAATAAAAAGCAATATATTTAAAATAAATAAATAAATAAAAGCAGAGAGGTGGAGAGATGGCTCAGTTTTTGATAAAAGTACTACTCTTGCAGAGGATGGGATTTGGTTGGGGAACCCAGAAGGAAAGCTCACAACAGCCTGTAATTCCAGGCCAGTTAGGGTCACATAGTGAGACTCTGTCACAAACCAACCAACCAACCCAACAGGACAAAACAAAAACCAAAAACAAACCCCCAGGATTAGCACCTGGCCTGCCCACCTCCTGGGGCTCTACTGCTCTGACTCAGACATCCCATCCCAGGGCAATAAACTTGCATTAGGGGTCCCATTCTGACAGCAACCCCAGGGACCCCACTACTGCCAGAGTGCAGGGCCTCTGGGTCATGCTTTTAATTACTGAACGTCACAAACACAAATTGTCTGGTTCCTAAATTCTGAGCTGAGTTAGGCCTGGTAGACAGGAAATGAACAGGGTAAAGCTTCGACCACTAGCACGGAAGAGGGACTCACAGCCATCTCCGGACCCAGGCTGAGAAAAGGCTGGACACGAACAAGAGTGGTCAGAACCTGGCTGAGTGTGCAGTGGACAGACTTGCTTACAGGGCCCCGTTTGAAAATGGGGGTAGAGGAGGACTTCTGGGAGCAGGCCTGGAGGCAGGGCTGGGTGCCAAATGGGGATTTCCTTGGTTAGTAGGTGGAAAGGCCTGGGGACGACTGCAGCCCAGAGGGGGTCCCCGAATCCCACCCTGGAAGGCTTACCTCCCAGGGTGTGTACTCCATCACTCTTGCACACTAGTTTGCACTTTTAACACCTTCGCCGCTAGTCCCTACGCCTTTCCCATAGTGTTCATTCATGACTACAGCGGAAAGGGTGCTTTCCAAATTTTTATTTTTGAGGGTGCTGGGGAATCGAACCCAGGACCTTAGGCAAAGCGCCCTTACCACTGAGCTATAAGTAGCTCCAGTACCCTAAAGCCTGTTTTCTAGTACCGCATTGGGCACGCTCGCCCTTCCCGGTGCACCCCTCCAAACCACACTCTTCCGACGCAGGAAATCGGTGAATTGCTAAAGCAGAGCACCAGCTCCTTTGAAACCGCCCCCTCCGCTCGCAGGGTCTCTGCCCAGCCTGGAGTCGAAGCCCCGCCCCTGGCCCGCCCCCTCACTCCCATTGGCTGTCTGGACCGCCGGCTCCCGGGCGGGGGCGGTGATTGCGTCGCGCCTGTGTCAGTCCCCGGAGAGGGCGCGGGCGGCTGGGCAGCCGCAGGTGTGGCCGGGAGCCGTGTAGGGACCGAGCAGAGCCCGCAACCCCGCGTGGTAGTCGCCAGAATGCCCGGCGGGGACTCGGAGCAGGTGCGCTACTGCAAGCGCTTCTCCTATCTCTGGCTGAAGTTCTCGCTCATCGTCTACTCCACCGTGTTCTGGGTGAGTGATCCCGGGGGAATCAAGGGGGGGTAGGGTGGGGGGCGGTCCCCACTGCCACAACACCCCCCCCCCAGCGCGCCGGGTTCCGGGGTTGGTCCAGCTTCTGCAGCTCCAGGGAGCCGGGAGCGCGCGGCTGCTCCCTGCTCAACTTCCCTGGGAATCGGGACATTTTTGTGGCTCCAGCTTAGCCGGATTTCATCTACCCACAGGGAGAGTTAGAGCGGGTAGCAACCCGACGACACGTTGCACACCTGTGTGCACCTACCTGATGGTGGTGTCGTTTGCCTGGGAGTCCGCTGCGCATCAGCTGGGGCTGTGTAGGCTGTGGTTGCTGGCCGCGCCCACCACGCCTGCAGGGGATTGTGCCTCACCACCAACCTGGGGAGAAGTGGCCAGCCTTTGTGTTTGGGGTCACCTGGATTCCCGGTCTGGGCCATGCTGTTACTTGCCTGTGGCCCTGGATGAGCTGCTTCTCTTGCGGGTCCACCTTGGTAGGAGGATGACTTGCCTTAGTGGTGGTATTATTTCCGTCGTTACTGGGCTATCCCCCTGTTTTTTGCCTGTGGAGGGAGAATCACGATGGCAGTGGTTGGGCACAGCCAGGCTTTGAATCCTGCCCACCACTTTCTAGCTGAGTGATCTTGGGGGGAAGTGCCTTCATCTCTCTGGACCACAGTTTCCTCATCTGTACATGGAGACAGTAATTATGCCTCTGGATGGTTGTGGAAATTAAATGAAAGAGACGAAGTTCAGTGCTTAGCACATACTATAGAGAGCTCTTAATAATATTATTATTATTATTATAGCGACAGGGTCTCACTGTATCTCAGGCTTGTGTTCATTTGTTTTGAGACAGGATCTTATTATATAACCCCTGCTGGCCTAAAACTTGCTATGTAATCCAAGCTGGCCTTGAATTCACAGCAATCCTCCTGCTTCAGTTTCCCAAGCATTGGAATTACAGGTGTGAGTCACCATGCTCAGCACTATTATGATTATGGGCAAGGAATCTAGACGTGAGTCCTATAAGCTGCCCCAAGAGATTGAGTTTCTTTCTTGTTTTATTTCTTTTTTGAAACAGGGTAGCATGTGTGGTTTCAAAATCACTATGTAGCTGAACTGATCCTCCTATTTCTACCTCTCAAACACTGGGATCATAGGGGTGTGCCACCACCCCTGGCTTATCAGGGCATTTTAGACTATCTGGGCCTTAGTCTAGACAGGAGGATATCTTTCTACAAGTTGGCTGTACCCTCTCATCTTCAGAATAACCCCCTGCCCCCAGTATGCACTTGACTAGGCTTGTGTAGGGATTCCCAAGGGGTCCTCTGGGGAAAAAAATCTTTCTCTCCTCCTCCTCCTCCCCCCCTCCTCCCCCCCTTGTGCTGGAGATTAAACCTAGGACCTAGCACAGGGCCTAGACATCCTAGACATCACTGATACAGATGAGTTCCCCCCTCCTCCATCTCCCTCCTCCTCCTCCATCTCCCTCCTCCTCTTCCTCCTCCTCTTTCTCCTCCTCCTCCATCTCCATCTCCCTCCCTCCCTCCTCCTCCATCTCCCTCCTCCTCCATCTCCATCTCCGTCTCCATCTCCCTCCCTCCTCCTCCCCCCTCCCTCTCCTCTTCTGCTCCTCCTCTTCTGCTGGCCATCTGGCGGCTGGGCTGGCCATCAAGACAGACTTGAGTGGGACCCCTTCATGGGGTTCCCCTACTTTTCTGTTTAGAAAAGTCTAGCCTAAGTTACCTTCCAGTCCAGTTCTGACTCTAGGTGCCCTGAAAGACAGATGAGCCCTGAGGGTGGAGCAGAGACCCAAGGTACAAGCTCCAGGGAGGCAGAAGGTTGGGGTGGGCAACATGAGCAATAATTCAAAGATTCTTACCCAGAGCTGTATCAGAATCAACCCCAGAGGTTCTAACAACACTGCAGATTCCTGTGCCCTGGCAGGAGGTTTACTAAAACTGTACCTAACCTCCTCAGATAGTTGTAGTAGGCAGTCAGAATTGAAAACTGCTAGCACAGATAGATGGTTGTGGAAGACCCCAGGGATTCTTTTCAGTCTTATCTTGCCTGTAGGGCAAGATTGAAGGATGGGAAGGTGGGGGCTTCATTCCTAGCTTCCCCTTCTCACTCAGCATGTAGCTACTGGCCAGTCTCTTCACCTCACACCTCCATTTTCTCACCTGTAAAATGGACATATGGTATACCATGCCTTGTACCTCATTGGATCACTTTTTAGGGTTAATGATGAGACAGTGATGGAGGAAGGGGCACTGCTAAGGTGCTGCAGGCCTGTAATCCCAGCACACAGAAAGACAAGGCCAGAAGATCACAAGTTTAGGGCCTGCCTGGGGTTCAGCAGTAGAGTGAGTTTAAGGGCAACTTAGTGAGACCCTATCTGAAAATAAAAACTAGAAAAATGAAGACTGAAGATGTAGCTCAGTGGTGGAGTCTTTGCCCTAGCACGCAGGAGGCTCAGTCCCCAGCACCACAGGAACAAACCAAAAACCTAACCGAAACAAAAGCAGAGGCAGTTCCAAGACTCCAACTGAGTTTGCAGGGCCTGTGCAGTGCGATTGTCCTTTGCAGACCCTTGAAGTGCCCACCCTTTGACCCTTGCTTTGTTCCCCTTAAGGCTATGGAGGACCCAGAACCTGGAATCCTTCTTTAGCCGGCTCAGGTTGCTGTATGCTCATTCTTGGCTGTATTTCTGCTTAAAAAATCTCCCCACTGAGGTCAAGAACCCCACCACCAGCCAACTCTCCCAGGGCAGCTGCAGGTGCCAGAGTGTGACTATAGGGCGGAGGCTCTTGAGTAATTTGTCTCCGCTGAGTTTACTGTTAATTGGAAACCATTTACAGAAAAGCCCATTATCGTGATTCCATCTCCTGCCTCGCCCCTGGCAAGAGAACCTGTAAGGGTAAAGTTACTGGCTTTATAAGCCAAAGTTTGAAGCTTGAATCTCTGACTTTAAAGTCTGGAGGGGCCATAAGAATTACCCTAGTCATGCACCTTCTACAAGACTTTCTTCTCCTCCCCTCCCGTCTTTGGTTTGCTTTTGAGAAAAGGTCTTATGTAATTGAGGATGGTCTTGAACTCTTAATCTTCCTACCTCGTCTCCCAAGTCCGGAGCATGTTCTGCCACACCCAGCTTGTAAGATGGTTTCCTTTAAAAAAATTATTGTTACAGGAAACGCATGCAATTGTATACAAATTAAAAGTAGAAAAGGAAGACTGGCGAGATGGCTCAGCAGGTTGAGGTGCTCGCTGTGAAAGCCTGATGACTTGGGTTGGATCCCCAGAACACACATAAAGGTGGAAGGAGAGAAGCGGTTCCATGAAGTTGTCCTCCAGCCTCGACATGTGTGCTGTGGTGCACACCCCCCATATGCACCATAACAATAAATAAAATGTTTAAAAAAAGAAAAGAAAAGAAAAAGTGGCCAGGCATGGTGGTGCTCACGTTTAACCCCAGCACTTGGGAGGCATGAAGAGGCAGGCAGATCTCTGTGAGTTCAAGGCCAGCCTGGTCTAAATAATGAGTTCCAGGCCAGTGGGTTCCAGGGAGACCTGTCTCAAAAAGACCAAATAATAGTAATAATAATATGAGTAGAAGAGGAATAGAGTCTTTTTGTCACAAAACTAAAAATAAAAATAGTGACAGCCTTTACTCCCGCTTCTGGCTTGTATCCAGAGGGGGTCGTTGTTATTAGGGTACTGGGATTTTTTTCCTCTGGGGTATTTGAGGCAGAGAATGGCCTAGGCACAAACATGCATATGCAGATATGCAGTGGATATTCTCTGTGTGTGTGTGTGTATAGTAATGTAATGTCACACAGTGTACACAGAACTGCAAATAAGCCCTGACCTTTTCAGAATCTTTTTTTTTTCTCTTTTTTCTTTTGAGCTGGCTCTCAGATGTCTCAGGCTGGCTTCAAACAATATATCCGGCCAAGGATGACTTTGAACTTCTGATCCTCCTGCCCCCACCTCCTAAATGCTGGGATTACAGGTGTGTACCACCACACCCAGTTTATGCAGTGCTAGGGATTGAACCTAGGGCTTTCCCACATGCTAGACAAGCACTCTACCAACTGAGTCTCATCCATAGCCCCTTACTTAATTAAAATCCTTGTAAATTGTGGCCATCCGCCAGGGTCTGCCTCTTTCTTTTAACTTACTACTTTAAAAAGATATATTATTATTTTTGTTTATGTGTATGAGTATATCGCTTGCATGTATGGAAGTGTTCCCTTGTTATGCAATGCCTGTGGAGGACAGAAGAGTTGTCTCGGATCCCCTGGAACTGGAGTTACGAATAGTTGTTAGCTGCCATGTGGGTGCTGGGATTCGAACCTAGGTCTTCTGCAAGAGCAGTCAGTGCTCTTAACCGCTGAGCCATCTCTCTAGCCCCTAACTTATTACATTTACTGTATTTATGACATGTATGCGTGTGTGCGTGCGTGCGTGCGTGTGCGTGTGTGTGCGTGTGTGTGTGTGTGTGTGTGTGGACCACAGTTTGTATGTGGAGGCTGGAGGACAACTTCACGGAGCCGCTTCTCTCCTTCCACTTTTATGTGTGTTCTGAGGATCGAACTCAGGTCTTCAGGCTTGCACAGCAATTTTTTTACCTGCTGAGCCATCTCAGAGGTCCCAAGGGGCCGCTTCTTTCTGTTTAATGGATACACAGACTTTAGGCTGTGCCAAAGTTTATTTTATCTGGACACAGCTGGGGAATTCTGAGTCTGTTTCCAATCTGTTGTTGCTGTAGGAAATACAGGGGCTATCTTTGAGTCTGCATATGCATGTGTGTCTGAGGGCTAATTTCTAGAAGAAATTGCTGGAGTGAAGGGTATACGAGTGCATAGAATAATACAAAATACATATACTGAACCATATATACCCCAGCCCTTCTGCTTTGATGTGAGTAAATTGCCCTATATAGAGATAATATTAATTGTAATGTTATTTAATTCATTTCTTTTTTTTTTTTTTTTTTT